TTGACCTCGTATTCATGTGGGACATCCGTTTGGGGCATCGAACCCAAAATCACATAGCGAAGTTAGTGTTAGGTGACTTTTCATGCTGACTTCTGGTGCACCAAACGGCAGTGGCAGGCTAATAAAAAAAACACGTCATGCTGGTAAGTCAACTCACTACCTTTATTCCTTCACTGTAAATTGCTTACGACCTAAACATTTTAGAACGTTCCGACAAACGGTTCATTCTTTGTTTTACAAAGAAATTGATTCCTTTAGGCGGCGTGGCACAGCGGCTCGGCCGCACCACCCCCTCCCGACTCGAAAGACTGCGCGCCGAGACTTCGCGTCAACACTGCGCGCGCGTCGCCATGGACTAGAGGCCGAGGCCGGCACCCGAGACCGTGCACCTCGCCGTCGCGTCGGCAGACCCTCCCCCCTCCCCGCCTGTCCCTGGTCCCGTCCCTGGACCATGCGCGGCCAGGGGCGGGCGGCGCGCGGCACCGAGGCCTGGGGCAGCGAGGTGGGGTGAGGCGGGGTGGCGGGGGAACAGGGGCTCCCTGAAGAACACCTGAACGCCTCGGGACTCACCAGGATACAGCACGACGACAACACAGGTGAGGCGGTGATGCGACCCGCCGCCGTTGGCAGGGCGCCAGGGCGGCCGGGACAGACGCGAACGCTTAAGCAGGTCGGCCCTCGGGTCAGCCGGCGGCGCGGAAGCAAGGGCCTTGCCTCGGTCACTAAACACAAAATCGCTCCTGCAGTTTTCACTCCTTCTAAAAGAAAATTGAAAAATGGAACGCACACTTTTAAAATATACCTGTTTTTAGATGGAATGAGATTTGCAAAAAGAAAATTAAATGCTGTTTTCATTCTCTTTTTATTTTGGCGAAACGGTCCCTAAAGATATGACCACGGCCACTTCGCTGACGAATTGGTGCAGCAGTATGGCTGCGCTGGCGGCGCTGCAGGGTCCCCAAAGGCGGAAATTGAAAGAAGTATCCCCTCGCCGCCCCCGCTGGAACGGCGAGGTCTTGATCGAGTACCGCGAGTGCCCGAGAAAGGTCGGGCGGTGTCGCGCTGTCGTCAAAGCAAACGATTGGGGCCGAAAACTGTGATGGCTTGCGCGTGGCTCGGGGAAGGTCGCGTCGCGGGAGCCCCCAGCCTGCAGCGCGTCCGCCGCCCTTCTCCACGCCGCGCAGCTCCCTCGCGTCCCTCGCTCAAATTTAATAACGGTGCAGCGCGGTGACCCGCCGTAACCTACACAATACACGCGAATGAGCGCGCACAAATTGTCATTAATTTTGCAACTGCTCTGTTGTGGCGTGATGTTGGGGCGCCTGCAAAGCGGGCCTTGAACGGTGGCAGGCGACCTATTTCCCC